GTCTTTTGCTATGAGAAACCAGTAAACATCCTCTGCGATCCCTTTTAGAAGATTACCAACCTTGTCCTCTTCTGACATCTTGGTTTCCAGTGCCTTGCATAACTTGAGCACTTCCTAGATATGCGTCATGCAGGTTTCCCCGAGGACTTGTGCTCGTTGCATAAGAGTTTGCTCAGCGCGCTTCTTCTTATCTGTCGAATCCGCGAAGCACTTCTTGATTTCATATACAAACTTCTGCCACGTCGTCAGGCCTTCTTCATGGTTTTCAAACTGTACGGATGTGGTTGAAAGAATCCCACATTGTTGAGCTGTGTGGCATCCCAGCCATTGAACCGACTCGCATGTTCGTATGAGCTGAGTCGTGCGTCGGCATCTTGTCCGGCGGAGGTTGAGGGCTAAATGTAGGGCTGCCACGGAATGCAAGAAGCAGGTGGCTGGTTGTCGTTGTCGCCATGAGACGCCATCGCAGGTGGAAGACCAGCAAGTCATCGACTTCGACGAAGCTCCGCGTATTGCGCCTCAATGTTCGGGGGTGCCGTTATCTTACCCAGCACCTGCCACCAAAACTGTTGCGATGGTGCGTGTTTATTCAAGGATGAATGGCATAGAGTAGCCGCACTGATACCGAGCTGCTTGCAAGACGGACCACTTCGTTCTCCTATTCCTTCGTTCACATGTTGCCCCTTCAGTATAACACTAGTGTACTGGGAAAATTGTCGCTACTCTGAATGAAAGAACATATTTTGCTGACCGTACATTCAAACACAGTTATATTGAACCCACGTATATCAAATTCGTAAGTTATCCCCTTGAAAGTCCTTTGTAAAAGTATGAAAATTTGCACGTTTATATCGAATGGTATTTTTACCTACCTTCGAATATATCGAACGCCGCCCGAGCTGAAAGGTGCGCTGCGACACTCGGCACCCCCAATGCCCCTTCGCGACCTCCGAGGCACCGCGGCTCCACGTGTGAGTTGGAAAGCCCACTTTGTCACTTGCAGCGCCCGGCTAGAATGCCTCGATGCGCGCGCCCAGCGGAGGACCGGGCATCGAGGCACTCTACACCTGGCGACCTCCGCGCAGCGCTACGCATCCCCGAAAAGCAGCAATGCTCAGAAAAGGTAAGGCTGAGAGGGCTCGGACTGCACAATCTCCAACTTCAGAAATGGCTTTTTTTTTTTTCCTTTCTCTTTTTTTTTCTCATGCTTCCTACGTGCATTGAATTTTTGTCTCTGCATACCCATCAGCTCGGAGAGCTGATGGGTATGCAGAGACAAAAGCGAATGTAGGAGCCGCCGTCCTCCTCCTTTCGCTTTTTCTTTTTTTTTTTTTGCTGTTTTGCGAGTTTTTTTTATCAGCCAACGACTGCTCGCGCCTTTTGCTGTTGCTCTCGCAGGTGGCCATCGCCCTGTGAGCGCTTTGTTGCTTCCGCTGTCGCGTCGCCTACGTACCACCGCATGTGCAGCATTTCTCTTTGTGTGTGTGGTGTGCAAACTTCAAAGCCGCTGCGCTTGAATAGTTGACCTCTCATGCAGCTCCGGCCAGCGTCAAGAAGTGCAAGACCCTTGAATTTGCTACGAAGTTGAAGGCTATTCAGCATGTTGAGGCGGGGAAGAAATGTTCAACCGTCATGGATGACTTCACGATGCCACGGAGCACTCCGAGTCCGTTGTTGAAGAAGGCGAAGAAGCAGAGAAGGTCGGGAGCCTGTCATGTGCGCGGGAATGTAGAAAGGTCAGTGCCTATGCCTGGTGAGTAAAAGTGTGCGATGAACATTCCAGTCGACAGCCCGATGCTGATGGCCAAGGCCAAATGGGTTGCTGCTGCACTTTGTGAAGACAACTTCACCGACAAAACCAGGTGGTTTCACCGATTTAAGCAGACCTACAACATACAACATCGTTGGCAAAACCAATTCTGGCGAAAGCGAAGCTGTCAGCAGCCAGGACACCCAGCAGTGGATGACGAAGGAGTGGCCGGAAATCTTTGCTAAGACAGACACAGTGATCAACTGCTTCCACAAGGCAGGCTTCAACTTGCGGAAACCAGTGAAGACGACAACGACTGAGGGCCTAGATGATGCGTCTAGCAAGTTGTCTTTCTTCTCCCTGCTAGCAGTTACACATGAAGTGTTCGAACGACTTCTTGAAAGTGGACTACAATGTCCAGGTCGACAGCTCATGTGACGAGGAGGATCATCTGGACGAGGCACTGGCTACATGCGCGTACTTCGTCCGCTGAAGTGGGGGCAGCGTCTGGCATCATTCGCCGTTGTATAGGCCACATGGAGGGAACCGAGCTGTCGCACGTGGACAGTCTTGATAAGATTGAGACTAGCGTCTTCAACATTTCAAAAACGAAGAAGCAGGCCAAGGTTAGCGACTTTTTTCACGAAAATAAATCATTCTGTTGCGGTGTATGTGCGGAATCAGTTGTCATTCTTGAACGCGCCTATTGTAGATGATGATCTGCTACAGGTGAGCTCGCAGGGCTTCTATTTTTTTATATTGAATTTTTTATATATCAAACTAATTCGCGATCTCCTTGGAGTTCGATATATCTATGTTCAACTGTATATTCAGAAGATGAAAATTTGCTTACCCCTGCTTATTCAGACACTTTCGCGACAATGCCACTCATCTCACTGAAGTGATGTAAACTCATGATCGAAAGTTTGGATGTCCTACAGTGCGCTGTTTCGATGTTCCGGACTCCGGCTTGCTGGACATATGTCGCTGAACATAATAACCAGCTGTCTGCGATGTTTTTCGCTAGTTTGCCAGGACTGAAAAATTGCACGTCCTATGACTGGAGATTGTGCTAATGTATAAGCTGCTTATCTCGAAGACTATACGTTTTGGCTACGCGCAATGGCTGTTTTTCAGCTTTAGCAAGCCGAGTTGGTCAAATGTTCATTAAAAGTCTATTATAGCCAGGTGAAGCCACACTTGGAGTATGCTCAGTGTGACGTTTGAAATGCCTGTGTGTACAGGCAATAAAAGGACAGAACCACGGGCATTGCAGCACGAACTAGTGTGATATCATTCGCTTTTGGCATATGAGTGTTTGCTTGTCAGTTGTTTCAGCAGTCTAGTAGCCTGATTTATGCCAATGGCTTTGACGTTACTTGTGTTCCATCGGCGCTGTCTTTAGTAATTAAGAAATGCGGTAACTCAAAACACTGAGAAGTACAGACTGCTGGGCAAGTTGGTAACGCACTTTAGCATGGTGGTGCACCAAAAAAAAATCGCAACACGAAGGCAGGGATACCAAACATGGTGTAAGACACTGACAATGGGGAGAAAAAGCCACAATTATTCGTCAAATTAAAAGTGGTCAACCTCAATTCAAGGTTGCTGGGGAGTTTTCAAGGTTGCTTGGGAATTAAATTCAAGGTTGCTCGGGAGCTGGATGATGACGAGATTGTCTTTCAGGGCTCGAGCGCAAGTGAACATTCACTCTGATAAAGTGCTGCCCCCACAATCGTTATCAAATGTGTATTTAGCACAGCACCGCCTCGCCGCGGTGGTCTAGTGGCTAAGGTACTCGGCTGCTGACCCGTAGGTCGCGGGATTGAATCCCGGCTGCAGCGGCTGCATTTCCGATGGAGGTTGTGGGGGTCTCGGTATGGCAAGCGATCACCACGCCACGCTCTTGAAGTGAACGGACACAGCAGACAAACCAAACAACATACATACATTTATTTAACTAATTTATAACGACAATATCAACCGCCGAATTGCTACATAACTCGTTATGTAATAAGCTAGGACATCATTGCACAATAACATGACAAACACACATGACAAACACACAATAACACACCCACCCAAAGCGGCGTCGCCAACGCTTGACTTACCACGAGGGCCCCCGACGCGCAGGGCACCGCGGGCCTGCGCCGAGGACCCATGCTAGAGACAACCGTTTGCGGCAACCGCTATGCGCAGAAGAGACTCGCTCAACTCTCGCCCGCCCCCACGACTTGCTTTCCACAAGGGGTCGCTACCGGCGCTACCACTGTCACAACCATTATGATGATGACAGTGGTAATCAACGCCACCTACCACCCGGTAGTTGTAACTCGAAATGCGGCTTTTGTGCGAGACATGTGCGCCATGCGGCGTAAACAACTTTACAGGGGGTGTCAGCACCTCCACAAGGTGGAAATGCTGTAGGTTCGTATGCTCAGATTTGGGTGCATGTTAAAGAACCTCTGGTGGTCGAAATTTCCAGATCCCTCCACTACCGCCTCTCTCATAATCATATCGTGGATTTGGGACGAAAACCCCCACATATCAATCAATAGATTTAGCGCAAGCCGTAACAATGCTACAAGCTACAATTATATGGCCAAACGCTGGCTGAAATACAGGCGGACTTGGTCATCTGCGATCGTGCTTGTGTGTAGATATGCATTGGCAAGTTTTTCCGCCTTCTGGAGCAAGGAAGAGGCTCTTTTTCTGGTGAATCCCTTTTATGGACACTTGACTTGATTGTTTGAACTTTTTGGCACTTTCCCACAACCGCAAATAAACCATTGGCGTCTTTTTAAAATGGTCTGCAGGGTTCTTTGCATTCAGTTTAGTACATGATAACAAAGCTTATTAGTTTTCCCAACCTTCATTTGGCTTCACCAGACTACTCAAAGTAATCAACAAACATGTTATAAGTCAACACGGTGATCACTAAAAAATTACATTTCCTAGAAAACAGAGCCCGAGGAAACACAAGGGACAAGGGATATTTTACGAACAACCAGGCAAAAGAAAAATAATCCCGAATTCGCTTATCATAATCACAACTGGCAACTCTGCTCTAAATAGAAGCCAAGAGAAACAAACAATAAAAACGTCATTTTTTTGTCAGCATCTGTATTTATTAAAGTGGGGATGTTAGTGGCACTGTAGATTTGCCTGCACTCTGTGCACTGTGTGCTCATTCACTTGACCAGAACGACAGTGTGTTCTGTTTGCCACTGTGCATTTTCTATCTTTTTAGGCATTCGGCACGGATCCGGGACTGGAGCAGGAACTGCTGGAAAAGCCTGGCCTGCAGGAGCTGCTCCTGGACGAGCTGGGGCTGTCAGAGGAAGACAGTGGGGGTGGTGAGGACGACCTGAGCCTGTGCTCGTCAACGCCCAAGCCTAGCCTCAGGCCTTTTTTCTCCTCGGCCACATTAGTGCCGCTCGCCGACGACTCGAGGGTGAGCAAAAGGCACTGTTTGTGAAAACTCGCGTGACTCGATGTGCCGTCACTTGCCGTGCAAGTGTGCTAAACTGAAGTGTTTTTGTGGATCCTTCAATCATATCGGTTGTGCAACTCCATTTCGACACCTGGACATGTGCATGAATGAACCTGCGGAGGATTGCAAACTAATGCATCACCTAAGGGTGGTGACATAAAACGCACCCAATAGTACCACTCGCTGCATTCTTCGTAGTTTCTGTGCAATATGCCTTTGCAAAAGTTATGAAAAGTGCTTTCAGAGTAAGACAATAAGTTAGATGCAGTATCATCTGCAATATGGAAGCCACAAGCATAACAACACTGTTAACTTCATCAATGGAGCAATAATCGTGTGCTTAAGACACTGGAATACACAAAAGTGTCGTTTATTACCTTGTTTAGTCAGTGATGCCACAAAAAGCAGACCTTCACAATATAGGCCAGTGGCGTATCTGAATTTTGATACATGGAGCCTGTGGGGAGTTTCACAACTTTTATGATAGAACTCTGGTGTCCTGTTCTTCTCATCAGCTGCTTCTTTTTCACACAGGGTCAGGACTCTGACAGTATACAGGTAAGTAGAGCTGATCGTACTCTTTTGAAAGTTGGGGCCCTTTTTTCACCGAGCCCGTCTCGCCTAATAGGACACAGATGAGGAGAGCCCACTTGCCCAAGAGGCAGTGCCGCCACCACCAACACCCCGGGAAGATGTAAGCATTTGTTTTTAATTCTAAGAACACTTTGCTTCCTTCATTATTAACGTCTTCATGTACCCGGTTGTAGCACGACCACAATTGTGATGCTTGGGGCAACTTTTGAGCTGAAAAAGGGTAGAACAAGAATAAAAGTGTGTATCATTGCACCTTTTAGAGAACTTGAATTTTAGTGTTTGGTTGTAATGCAAGGTTCGACTTCAGGTAGCCAATATCTGGAAAAACTTGTGGTACATTTGAGTACCACATTTACACGCAAACTTGCACCCTCACATAATTTGCGCATCCCTAATATTTCAGCCAGATTTACAAAAAAAAGAACAAATATTTTCTCAAATGTTGCACTCCCCAAACCCCCGATGCCAACCCACCGATGCGCACAGGGAGAGACTATAAAGCTATGAACACGCTTCGCCGAGCAGGCCAGCAGACTCGTACATAAAACAAGCTGCGAATGGAAAGTTTCTTCTCTTGAGGGGACTGCCCCCAGACTACGGTACCCAGAATACCGTTCTCTACCTAAACTTGCTGACTCCCCCTATCTCCCCTTCTTTTCCACCATGAGAGTGCACGCTCATATCACAGCACAAACAATTTTCTGCATCAGAGGCGTGTGAGGGCCTGTCGCACCCTTTGTTTGCGTTCTGTGTGGCTGTGCCATTTGTCCATCAATTTTTTACAGTTCCCTTGCAATAGGCCGCAATAATTCAAGCTCGACATTATAATGTTTGTCAATGAAAATGGAAACTATGCTGCCCCCGAGCACTTCAGTACTAAGTGATTCAACATGTGACAATCGGAACAGGAAAAATCATCGCAGTGCGTACTTGCTACGGTATACAAGTTTCCTTCCGTCGAAGAATACTGTTGTTAGGGGTAGGAGCACAGCATAATGTGAGGCAGGCTGGCGGAGAGGCTGAATGTCGAGATGGAATATAGAGTGACAACACGTAGATAGATGAAGCTTTGGCGAAACTGACAGGAGAGTGCTTTCTCAAACGTTTGTTACGGTGTTTATAAGGAGGGGGAAAAAGGGTGATTAGGACATGTGCTTGAATCGTTCTTTGTTGAAGGGTGATTGGCCGGCGTTACATGGGTCACATGACCTACGTGGCCATGCCGTTTAAACTGGGCATGATGGAGGCTTAGCTCCACCCAGTCATATTTGAGGCAAACTTTAACTAAGTTGTGTTTGCGACTTTTTTATGCTAATTTTAGCTTTGCGTCTGGTGAGTCGGAAAATGAATCGTGAATGCTCTAGCACATCGTATAATTAATGCTAGCATTGGTAATCAAGAACAACTTCTTGTCAGTTCGAAAAGCATGTCTAAATACTGTATGAACTAGTGCTCTACAGCGGGACAGCGCCTCAGGCTACGCGCGTTCAAGCTTCGGTGACGCTGAAGCCGCTGTTCTCAAATAAGCAGTGAACAATGAGGCGATATGGGTGCTTTCAGCTTGTCCTCCTTAGAAAAAAAAAAAAAGAAAATAATTCCTAATGTAAGCACTAAAACCTAGGCTTGTGCAAATAGTGAATTCTAGGTTTGAAGCGAAGTCGAAGCGAACAGTTATTTTTATCAAATTATTTCAAATCGAATTCGAATAGACTATATCACATATAAAGAAAAATAGGCATATTTATGATGACCTAACCAACATGCACAATATTTTTTTTTTAAACATGGCCTCTATGCGCGAGCTTTCTTTATTTTTTTCCATTCAAAGGAATTCGAAACAACTTTGAGAAGTAGCAGAATTTGACTTTCAGTAGGATGTAAGTGATAACCTGTAAAATATGCAACATTATTCATTGCAGTTAGTGTATAAGCTGGCAAAACAACCTTTTAAGCTTAGAAAACAATAAATTCATTTGTGGATAATATGTTCATTCAAAGGGACCCTGCAAGAACAGTTTTCCAAGTAGCCATGGAATAGATTTACTAAAGAAGCTTATTGCTTTATGAATTAAGGGCCGCAAAAATTATTAGAATCTGTTCAGTATGAGTGGAGTCGCAAAGATTTGCCACATGCTGATATGGCATTCTTTCTTCAAGTCCTGACAAAAGCATTTGAAGCAAAGCCGGGACAGATGGCACACATAAGGGAAGAAAATATGCCACGTGCGTGTTGTGACCTTGAGCCCTCTTTTTTTCTTTTTATCTTCTATGAATACACGGATTTTCAGTGCGATCGCGCATGTACGCGTGGACATGTCACCGCCACCCGCGGTGGCCTTAGTAAGGACTGAGCGCCCCATGCTCAAATCAGTCAATGGCTGGTACAATGACTGTGACTAGTGCGATTTTTGACATTGCGGCATCATTTGCCAAGAAAAGAGTGCAATTTTTATCCTACATTGAGAATTTGTTGTGAAGTATAGGTCGCGTGCTGCGCTATAATATTTAGCTCGCGTGTTCTCAGTAGCCTTGACTACCAATCGGCAGCGATTGCTGGCCATGCTGAAGAAGTGTTGCAGGGCCCATATAAATTTGGAGTGGGGCTTCACGGCAAAGCAGATTTTTTCTGGATATGTGCTTTCAGGGTTTAGCACCACTATACTGTAGTGAAAACACTTTTACAGGTGATTACGTGCGATTTAGGATACACTCATTCGTTCATGTCGAATATTTCGAAATATTCTATAACATTAAATTCGAATCGAATCAAAGCGAATTCGAATATTCGAATGTAACAGTAATATTCGAAGCATTGGAATATTCACACAAGCCTAATAAAGCCATTTTCAGAGCAGCTAATAAGAGAGCCAGAAGAGTGACAAATATTAGTCCTCGCCGGGTGTCAGTCGAGGTATTGAATGTCACGGGTGGGCCCCTGCCTGCGTCAAAGCACAGAAAATGTTAATTGAACCGAAATACTCAGATGGGCTTGACCCTGACTTTAAAACCAAAATAATATGTTTTATAGGCAACGCTCGTCACTAATAATCGTTGAGAAGTGCCCTCGCATGCAGAACTTTCAAATGACACAAGCATCTCGAGTTTCCAAATTTGGTGTCGGCAAGGGAGGAAGTGCTGTGCCAACTGCGTCATTCTGTGCCAATCTGACCCGCTGTGGCAAGCTGTGCCTAAACGGAACGTGCGACGCCAAGTTTAGCCAAGTCCCATCATCGGCCTAGCAACATGCATTGGAATCACAAATGATGCAGTCGCATTGATATTTCTTGTTGTATTGTTGTAAAAGTAATGCCGCACTCGCTCATTTCTTTCTATTTTTGTTATTACACTATTATATGTGTAGCACTGCCTTGCGCAAACCGCGCCTGAATGACTGGGAACAATGTAGATAATCTTAGAACTTTCCAGTGAGATTACAAGCTCATTATAGGTGGCCTTTAGCGATAAGTTGGAATCATTGATGGCATCATGACACGCCTCTTTGCTTGGCAGATTATTGACAGCCGATGCTCTGTGTTTGCTGTTTGCGTGTATTGCTTCCGGAGTGACACTTGGTTTTTAGGTATAGGTTCATCCAAATAAGTTTACTCATAAAAATAGTGACTACTGCTTTCGTCAACGTCATGACCCTGGGACAATTCAAAGTAAGGCTGACAGCTGTTTCGGATCCGATATTGCGTAACTCTACAAAATGCTGATATAAGTCGAAAAGCATCGCCACTCCAGAGAGAAACGCTGTTGGCACTCAATTTGTTCCTGTCCAGAGCGCAACACATGAACGGAGCTATGAGCCGTGCGCTTATGCTTGCCTAGATTGCGCGCACGCCAGTGATCGAGACAGTGATCGAGGCCCTTGAAATCAAAGGTCACAGCTGCTGCTCAAGTGAATCTCACCCTCCCTTCCCCTCCCCCCCCCCCCCCCCCCTACACACGTGGCGGGATGCTATTGTATGCGCCGTTGGAGCGAAGAAGTTCGGCCGCCTCGTCTCATCGAATCTCTCAGCAACAGCTTATCGCCCCCGCTCGCGCGATCTTACCTGCGGGAAAAACATATGGTGTGCCGGGGACGTTACCAACTTGAGGTTTATGCAGAACATGGCAGTGGTGACAAAAACCCGTCGAGTGTCTATACATTCATTTCCTAACGCAATAAAACACTTTGCACGCCATTGCCTAGCAAAGAGCCTATTGAAATCCGTCAATATTGATGCCGTGGCTCCAGTCCCTACCAACAGCGACATGTGAATGTGTACTTGAATGACAACAGGTATACGCAAGACCTTCGGGCTTGTTGACGCAACTTGCATGAAAAGAGCTGTGGCAGCATGGAAGTTTATGTCTTGAACTGGGTGAACTCATGGACAGCTGCTTGTTCTTTACAACCAACTACCAGTGAAATGCCCTTTGATATTGCAAAAAACGGCATTTCTTCTTCTTTGCTGGACATTTTCTTGAAGTCCCCAAATGTCCCAACTTGCCACAGCGAACACAGAGACCTACTTGAGGCTTGGGCGCAAGCTTTTGTACCTGCGGGCAGCAAATCAGTCTTCTACTATACGTGCTGACGAGCCCGTGCAGCAGTCTTGGATGCGACCGGTCAGCTGATTCGAACTCAGCGCCGACGAAGCTACTTGCCCACCATCTTGCACCGCTGCAACGTGTTAGATGCTGCCGTCGTAACCGTAGCGCCCTTTAATTTGTTTACGAACTAGAAGTAGCGGTTGCAAATCTCAAAGGTACAGTTGACAAACGATCGCAGATTGATCACCTTGAAAATCTATCCCGCAGGAATGACTTATCATTTATGGCTTGAATGAACCAACCAATAAAACTTCCGAAACGTTGCTGGCTTCTGTGACAAACATGCTATCCTGCAAGGTTGCAATTCAATGCGATGATGACATTGAATGCTGCCACAGACTCGGTACACGAGGAAGTTAAAAAAGGTGCCCTGTAATCTTTAAGGGGGCAGACTGGTCTTTGGGACCAAAAAGTGACAAAAAAAATGGATTTTTTGAAACTGATATATATTTGGTTTCTTCAAGTATTTTTCTATATTTTTTGAAAATTTTCACACACCAG